AGATTTCCACAAAGTTCTACAGAATTTGAACTAGGATTCAGCCTCCAACAATTTAATCCTCTTTTCCCAATCAAGATGTCTTGCTGGGGCTGGGATTATGGCTCAGCGGTAGAGCGCTCCACCTAGCACGGGCGCGACTCGGTTCGATTCTCAGCATCACATAAAAATAAAGGCACTGTGCTGTGTCCATCTACAAAAAAGATATTCTCTCTCTCTCTCTCTCAAAAAAAAAAAAAAAGATGTCTTGCAATAATAAAATAAAAATCTCCAATTATTAGACTCCTGAAGGCCTACATTTTAAAAGATCTACAAACAATTCTAATATACAGTGTTATAAATGAGAAACGTACCTTAGGATAATATCCAAGGCTATGCTATAAAAAATTCAAGAACACCTCTAAGTCCATCCACATATTCCTAAACAACACAGGAACCCCAAAGCTGTTCCATGTCTGACCACACACGAGTGGACCATGCTACCAGGATGACAGAAATAGTTTAACATTGAAAATAACACTCTGACAACATGGAATGACGTTGAGAATGAGGACAAGAGTGACAGGAGTGGGCTGGGGCGATAGCTCAGTGGTAGAGCGCTCGCCTCACATGTGGAAGGCACTGGGTTCGATCCTCAGCACCACATAAAAATAAAATAAGATAAAGGTATTGTGTCCATCTACAACTAAAAAAAAATTTAAAAATTAAAAAAAAAAGACTGACAGGAGTGCTTTTTTCTAATATGCAGTGACATGAACACTCTCTTCCTTATTTCTCACATAGTAAGTAAACACGTGGCCTCTGAAGCCAGAGAGCCTGTACTCATCTCTCAGCACTGCGTGATGCTTTGATCCTTTCCTCTTCTGCAAAATGGGATGATCATTTAACAAATCTTCAAGGTACAGCACATAAAAATACATGGAGATCAACAAGGAAATGGAAGACTTGAACAGGCTATAAACCAACCTGACCTAACAGCACATCTATACACTCCACCCAATAGCAACAGAACACACACCATTCTCAAACAGACGTGGAACATTCCCGAGGAGAGACCATATGCTATGTAATAAAACAAGCTTCAATAAACTTACAAGGATTGAATTTATGCAAAAATATGTTCCTCAAGTATAAAGGAATGAAAATAGAGATCAATCAAAGGAAGAAATCTGGGAAGTCACAAATCTGTAGAAGCCGAACACGCCTGAATAACCAATGTGTCAAAGAAGAAATCACAAGGGAAACTACAAAATATGTTGAGCTGAACGAAAAACACAACACAAAAAAACTTATGGGATGTAAGGAAAGCCACGGTTATAGGGTAATACACAGCTGTAAATGCCTGTATTAAAAACAAAGTTCTCAGCCGGGCTCAGTGGCACACACCTGTAATCCCAGCAGCTCGGGAGGCTGAGGCATGAGGATTGCAAGTTCAAAGCCAGACTCAGCAAAAAGCGAGGTGCTAAGGAACTCAGTGAGACCCTGTCTGTAAATAAAATACAAAATAGGTCTGGGGATGTGGCTCAGTAATTGAGTGGCCCTGAGTTCAATTCCTGGTACCCCCTCCAAAAAAATAAAAACAAACAACAACAGAAACCCCACAAAGTTCTCAGTTCCTCTCTTCTCTGAGAGGAATCACATCTCCTCCTCCTTTCCCCTTTCCTATCCCTTCTAATATTCATACCTATTACTTTAAGTGACAAGCCTGGAAAAAAGAAAGTTCTCAAATCAACAATCTAATCTTATTCTTTATAATACTGGAAAAAGAAGAACCAACAAAATCTAAAGCAAGAAGAAGGGGGAAATAATAATGTTTAAGGCAGAAAATTAATGAAATGGAGAACAAAAAAACAACAGTGGAAAATCAATGAAAGCAAACACTCGTTCTTTGAAAAGATCAATGAAACTTACAAATGTTTAGCTAGAATGACTAAAGGAAAAAAAGAATCAAATCACTGAAATCACAAGAGGACAATACCACTGACTTTCCAGAACAGAAGGAATCTTATGAGGTGCTGTGGATACCTGGCTGCTAGATCAGTGATTGTTTTCAATTAAATGGCCAAATTTTCTAGAAAGAAACAAATGACTCAAGAAAAAAAAAAAAGAAAAAGAAAAACTGAACAGATCTATAATAAGCAAAGAGATTATATTAGTTATTTTAAAAAAACTACCAAAAAAGAAAAGCCCAGGTGGCTTCACTGGTGAACTCTACCAAACATTTAAGAATTAATGCCAGCTTATCACAAACTTTTCCAAAAAACATTGGAGGAGGGAATACATCTTACTTAGCTCGCTGTACAAGGCCAGTATTATCCTGGTACCCAAAACAGATAATGACGGCACAAAAGGACTACACTGCCATGAATACAAACACTAAATGCTAGCAAACCCAATTCATCAACACTTGAAAATAATTGTACACTATGACCCTGATAGGACTTATCCTAGGAATAAATTAGTTTAACCTATAGAATAGAATAGAACAAAACAGAAAGCAAAAATGGCTGGGCACAATGATGCACTCAGTGTCTGTAAGCTCAGTGTCTCAGGAGGCTGAGGCAGGAAGATGTCAAGTCTGAGGTCAACCTGAGCCACTTAGCAAGACCCTCAGCAAGTTAATGAGACTGTCTCAAAACATAAAAAGGGCTGGGGATGCAGCTCAGTGGTAAAACACCCTGGAGTTTAATCCCCAGTGTGGAAGGAAGGAAGGAAGGAAGGAAGGAAGGAAGGGAAGGAGGGAGGGAGGGAGAGAAGGAAGAAAGGGAAGGGAAGAGAATTAAAGGGAAGGGGAGGGGAGGGGAAGACAGGCAAAAACAACCTGACTATAGATGCAAAAAAAAAAAAAAAAAATCATTTGACAGAATCCAACACCCTTTCATCATAAATATACTTAACAACCTCGGAATAGAAAGGAACTTCCTCCAACTTTAAAGGCATTCATGAAAAACCCACAACTAACACACATTTAGTAGGGGAAGACTAAATGCTTTCTTTATCCTAAGATTAAAACTGTGATAAAACCACCCACACTCTTCACTTTACTTAACATATACTGAAGGTCCAGTCAGGTCAAATAGGCACAAAAAAGAAATAAATATATCCAGATAGGAAAGGAAGAAGTAATTTTGCAAGTGTCATAATCTTATATTATAAAATCCTAAGTAATCCACTAAAAAACCATAAGAATGAATAAATGAGGTTAGTGAGGTTGCAGGAAACAAGGTCAATATATAAATTAGAACTGTATACCTACACACTAGCAATGAACATTTGAGAAATTAAATTAGAAAACAATTCCACTTATGATAACCCCAGAAAATAAAATAGAAGTAACAAAATAAATATAAAACTCATACTCTAAAAACCAGAAGATATTATTGAAAAAAAAAAAAAAAACAGGAAGATCTAAATAAATGGAAAAACATCCCATGTAATTGTACCAAAAGACTTAAAATGGTTCAAAGGGCAAAGAGAATGACCCTTCAGGAATGATATTTACATGGGAAATAAAAGCAAAACACTTTGTAAAACTTTCTTTAAAATATTCATACTTTTCTTGAAGTCATACTATACACCTCACTTCTAGCTTAGATTGAGAAATCCATAGGCTTTAAATTATTATAGAATTACTCAGAAATGTAAATAATATTTATCAATTGCTTACCAAGGGCTAAGAATTGTGCACTAAATTCATTATCTCCTAATCCCCATCCTAACTGTAGTAAGCAGACACTATGAAAAATCTCATTTTAGGGTGGGAGGTACTGCTCCAGGGTAGAGTTCATGCTTAGCATTGTGTGAGGCCCTGGGTAAATGAGGAGACTGAGGTACCAAGAAATTCAGTAACTTGCACAAGGACAGAAAGTATACAAGTGACAGTGGAGACCTGAATTCATGTATGCAATATTTAAAATCAGGAAACTTAGTGACATACAAATACATCCCCCCAAGTGTATCATTAGTGGCTTATAAAATGAGCCTAGATAGAATAAACTGGACCATTCATCTTAGTAATTATATACAATCAAATAGAACTAGTGTATCAATTATATTATGGTAATGTAAGGTTTTATTTTGAAATAAGTATATTAAAATGTAACTTATTTTTTGAAAAAGAAGGATATTGATTAGAAAGGAATATAGAAAAAAAGTTTTACTTTCTAAGAAAGTGAAATTTCTGAGTCTCCTTTCTCCCCTTTTTTAGTTTCAATGTTCCTACAATGTCTGTATAAAAATGGTAAGCATTTAAAAATTCTTTGTATAAATTACTCAAAACAATGCAATCACTCTAAGAAGAGTAAGCCAGTCTCCCACTGGCTGAATATTTTAATATGCCCACACCTGAATAAGCATGCTTCTCACTCAGGAAGTAATTTCCTGACATTTATCACATTTTCTTTATCTCCATTTTATCCTATCTTTCCTGAAACTCCAGGATCAGGTCACCTATTTAAATATGGTAGGCACATGCAAATATTTTTCAAAGGGCAGGGTTATGTGAATGTGTCTCCCTGGGGGTCCTGCTATATATATGTACACTGCCCACCTGTGGCACTCAAACTCCAATTGGCAGCAGGGTGTGGTGTCACATGTCTGTAATCCCAGCTGCTTGGGAGACCAAGGCAAGAGGATTGCAAGTTTGAGGCCAGTTTGGGCAATTTAGTAAAATCCTGTCTCAAAATAAAATAAGGGCTGGGGATATAGCTTAGTAGTAGAGTGCTTGCCTAGCATGAGGCCTTGGTTCAATCCCTAGTACAACAGGAAGAGAAAAAAGAAAGGAAGAAATAAAACAAACTTCAACTGGCCCAGGGGGATGAACCTTGAATAGCTATGCTTGTGTGTTGTTCTCATAGCCAGACATGCCTGACACCCCAAGAAGGTAAAGAAAACCATTTCTAGCTTTTCTCTTGGGCAACCGAACTTTAGAACTTTCTCGGCCCTCAGGTAAGTTCTCCATGGCTCAGAGACACCATCTCTGAGGCAAAAGGTGTCTCACCCACCTGTGCATGTTCCCGTTGGTGGTGAAAGACTGGCCACACACAGTACATTTGTAAGGCCTTTCGCCCGAGTGCACCAGCATGTGGCGATCCAGGGAGCTGGCCGAACTCAGGGACTTCCCGCAGATGCTGCATGAGTGGTCAGCTCCTCCAGTGTCTGTGTTGTGCTGCAGAAAATAATCACCACAGTAGTCACTTGACAAGATAGGCAAAACCTCAGACATCTAGAGCTTTATAAAAACCGATGAAGCTTCTTGGCCATTTCTTTTTGTTTTAACTATCTTTCTAAAGGGTCCAAATGTATCATCAGAAACATGGACAAATAATATTTTGTTGGATCTTCTTGTGTTCCAGTTTTGAAAAGCAGTTCTGCAAGGCTCAGAGAAAGATGAAGTCTTTGCAGGCTTTCTTTGAAACATATAGATTAACTGACCATATATATTAACTTTATGGGCAGAAGGACTCAACTACACAGTAAATGGGTGAAATAGGGTTGTCTCAGAGAGTCAATATCCCTTCAAGTTTGATATTGCAGGCCTGCTGTCAGAGAAAGAAAAATGAAACCTACAGAGTAGAGTTTTGGCCTCTCAAACATGGCAAAGAGGATTTCTACACAAACCCAAGTAACTCTAGTAACGTGTTATTCAGCAGTATGTTTATGACTTCAACTGATTATCATTCCCATCAATCCAATACCCATCAAGAGTCTTGTTTCTTTTATCCTTTTCCTTCATCAGCCATGACTGATGAGGGAAAAGGATGAAAGAAAAAGATCCCAAACTAAGCAAATTCACAACTGAATGAGATAAACTTAGAGCAATAAAGAAAAGGAAAGACATCTACGACCTCAATGTATCATAAGGAACTCAAATCATATTGACAAGTCACATACGATGAAAAGTCTTCTGTTAATATAAGTGGGCAGTTAGCTAAATTTTATTAAATTCTGAAGTTATTCTGTGTTGATCTGGGCTCTGCCAAAGTAACATGAACACAAAAATTATTTCATAATTGCCCCAAAGATTGTAAAAGATTAAATCAAAATTAGGCACTGTTCACATTTCACCCATTAGAATCAAATCATCTCATCACCTTGTTAATGAAGAATAATTTAGAACAAAAATACAAAAGTAGCAGCTAACCTGACGAATGTGCATAGTCAACTGGTGCTGGGTAGTGCAAATCTTTTCACACAGGGGGCAGTTGTAGGAAGACTTCTCCTCTTTCATTTCCTAAGAGATTAAAACAAAGTATGAATTTCAAATCATAGTAAACCAGTGCCTTCTATTTCTGTCATAAGCCCCTGTGTCTTTAGAGCTGGCTGTAAGTAGCCGAGAGCAGCGGACCAGAGCCTGTCCAGGTGTCAGCGTGAGCAGGTCACCTCCCTGTCTGCCCTCAGTTTCCCTGTTTGTAATTGGGAAAAAAAAGAGTATCAATCACAACATGTTGTGATGTGGATTAAATTCATAAACTTAAAATAAAATTAAAGCACTGAAATAGTGCCTGGTACAGAGTAAGTTCTTATTAAACAGCAGTGTTTTGTTACATGGATACTATTTCACTGTCCGTAATGGTGAAATAATAAAAACCCACCCTAACAAAGGCAGGAGCCCTTAGTGCCTGGTTATGTACCCTACAGGCATTAACACAACTCCTCTGACCCATGCTAGCATCGGCATGACACTGTTTGTAAATAAGAAATAAGAAAAAAAAAAATGTTGTCCATGTTAGAACTTTGATAGGATTGACAGTGTAAACTGGAGACTTCCACAGAGACGACACGGAGCAGCTTACTACTTGGTGAAGTCTTGTTTTATGTTCCCTCAAAACATATAGGACAAGCTTCCTTTGAGGAAATTATTTTACTTTTTAAAGGAAATTTAAATTCACTAATCCTTTTTACAGCTCCTCTTTCCAAGTAATCCAAGGAAAGCTATTAGGAGTGCCTACCTATCATGGTCTCCTTACTCACACAGTCCCTAGGCACCACGGGTCTCTGTCTCACAAGTAAATGGATCCAGACTTGGACACCTCTCCAGGGAATCAGAAATTGGAATGCTCAGGGAAGGCCATCAGTGGGACCTGGGGAGCTTTGTAAAATAACACATTTCTAGAGCAGACTCTCAACATGCTAGATCAGAATCATTGTGAGGGAGGGAGGAAGGGAGGTGAAACCTAGGAATCTGTTGGTTTCATAAGCTTCTCTGAAGATACTGACATGTGCCTGGGTGTTGCCAAGTTAGGTGATCAGGAGCACTTTGAGAATTCATGTAGAGCTGGGACCACACCTAACACTGTGGCATGTTCAAGCCACAAGAAATCAATTAAGAAGTCAGTGCTAACTGGAGAGGGAGGTCAGGCATTCGCTGAGACAAAGGTATGGGGTGGGGAGGGGGAAGAAAGAGAGAGAACATGAACACACATGTGCAAGTGCTCTAGAGAGGCCAGACACTCTGGCCAGGCTGTGCATCATTTCCTGTCCTTGAGCATCTTTCAATAGACCTCTTTTACTTGAAGTGAGATTCAGCTGAGTTTCTGCAAATACCAATTATTGAGCACTTACTATGTGGAAACTCTGAATATACAGAAACATAAGGTTTCTTTTTTTGCCCCCTATAGCTGCTAAGAGACACTATTATGGACCCCATTTTCTAGATGAGGAAACTAGAGTACAGAGGGGCAAGTAACCTGCCCTAAACTGGAGAACAATTAAGAAGTAGACATAGGATTAAAACTCAGGTCAGCTGCTCTACAGCCCATGCCCTAAACCACAATGCTATATAAAGTTTGACCAAAAAAAAAAAAAAGAACCCCAAGGCACAGAAAGGAAACACCCTGTGGTTGGCTCATGAGAGATGGTGAAAATAAAAGTTACCCTGTGCACTATAAAACAAATGGCACCATAAACCAGATGGGTGGAGTGAATGAATGAATGCATGATGATGTCTAGTCTGTAGCTGCCTTCTCCCTCACTTCTTTTCAGAAACTAGAAAGTCTCATTCTAAGCAAGATGACCCTTCTTCAATCTGTGGAAGTGGGTCTGAGAACCATGTAAGTCAGCCACATATTTCTCACACTCACATTTAAAAAGATTAAGGATGTGAATTCTATAAGGAAGTCGATTATCCCAGAAACCAAACAAGTCCTGATCTTACCAAGTTACTCAGGTACTTCTAAGTCCTCTCAAAGGCATAATTGGGGATGGGGGTCCTATCTTCTCAGCCAGTTCTACAATCATTCAGACTAGAGCTGGCCAAGGACCTCCATAAAAACAAAAAACCCCAAAAGCAGCAAAAGAAGAGCACTTTCTATAATAATGAGGGACGCCTCACATCTAGGCCAAAATTAGGATCAAATAAAACCTCTGGAGCAGTTCTGTCAAATTATTAGATAAGCCAAGCCTCAGCCAGACTCAGGGTCACATGACAGTAAGAGCCCAGCTCATCATCAACACCACCACTAACTACCACCACCACCACCACCAACAACAACAACGACAACAATAACAAAAAAAGAGCAGGAGGAAGAAAAAACAAACTAACCAGACTCATGAAGAGACGGTTTTTGTTTTTTTTAATTTTTTCTTGCATCTGGCTTGAAACAGATACCAGATACACTGCATGCAGCTTGTGCAGCTGACTGATAATGACTCTAAGGTTGATCATTAACTACTGCCAAACCTGAGGCTGGCAATGCTGCCATGTAGACCATAATACAGGTTCATGAAATGTCAGGTGGGCTGTGGGCTCAGATTTAACCTTCAAAACTAAACTACACAGAAAAGAGATCACTGTGATGTTGGAAACGGCCTACTGGAGGATTTTGAATCCAATTATTATGACTGTGCTGGTGGAAGAAGCACACTTCCTGAGCTGAAAGATAAAATTAGCAGCTAATGTGATAACTAACCATTCCATAATGAAACAATCTGGCACCCTTGTCAGCATCCGGCTGTGCCTAATCTGTCCTGGAACTCTGCTCACGAGGATGGGACTTTTCCTGGCTCCCTCTCTCTGGCCTCCCTATCCAGTTCACAGGTAAGGAGGCTGCTTCCTTCTTCCCTATACTCTCTTCCCATTGCATTTTGTTCCCTTAATTAGGCACTGTATTTAGCAGGCTACCTCTGGCCCGGAACTCTCTTGGAAAAATAAAGTCAGTGCACCGGATTCCTAGGAGAAAGGAAGCAGAGGACAAGCGGCCCAGTTACACCTGCACTTTCACCTCCTCCGAAGAACAAGCGCCACTCATCATGCAGGAATGGGAGGAGTCGTGGGTATCTTCCATGGCTCTAATGGCTATTTCTGAACAACTGGGAAGAAACTGGAGCCTGGCCCTGGACCAGCTCTGCCTGGCCCTGGGGGTGGGGGTGATGCTGTGCTACTTGAGGAAAAGCTCCGGCCTATACTTCACTCATTCCTGAGCAGAGAAGGATGAATGATCTGTCTTATTCATCCCAAAATGCTTGGTACCAGGCACAGCAGCTAGCTAGAAGTAGAAGCTGGTAAACACTGTTACATAAGTTGATGAATGGAGAGATGGACAGATAGATGAAGAGATGGACAGGCACGTGAAAATGGAAGTAAACCTTTTCTTCCCAGAGCTAGCGCTCCTTCTTGACTCAGGCCACAGTCATACAGGCTGAGTATTTTCTCAGGTACCCATAGAAGAGAGGCACACGAAGGCAAGGGAGAAAAAGAGAAAGAAAGGTGTCAGTGCTCCGACCCTCAAACACCACTGAGCGATGCCGACAGAGGCTTCAGTCCTGAGCCAGCTGTGAAGAAGTGCAGTCCCACACACCTGGTGGGAGTTGGGGCTGGCATCACATTTCCTGGAGGGTAAGTTGCATTAAAATCTTAATTAAGGTTCTACTACTGAGAAGTTATAGAAAACCAGATAGATGTGATCAGAGAATTCTGTGTAAGAACAGCTGTAGTAAGATTACTAATAAAAAAGAAAATTTTTAAAAAGCCCAGTGGGCTTGCTCTCTTGTCCATCCCTGGGTTCCTAGATAAACTCAGAAGAAGCAGCCTTCTTTCTGAAGGTTTAGTATAAACCCATAAAACCAAAAATTCACACCGTATGGATCCAGAGGAGAACAGAGACTCATTCGTACTCTGCCTCCCTCCTTTGTATATCTACACCATGTTTCTACTGTGGCAGCACAACTTTTCAAAAGTGTCCCATTTGTCCATTAATTAAAAGATTCATCTTATTTCCTAATGGAGGAGATTAGGACTTTTATAACAGCAATCATACCTCCCAATCTTTGTCTACCCATTTACTTTTTCCCACTTCTCCTGATCCTTTGTCAAGAGGACTAAACAGAATCTTAAGTAGAATTCTCTGGAGTCAAATTCTGTGCATTTTGAAAACTGGAAAGTTGAACAGCAGCCCCTATACAAACAGGACTTATTTGCCACCTAATCTGAAGATGTTTAAAAAAAAAAAAAATCAAGGAGTTGGCTTTGAAAGTTCAATTAACCAACTGTGCGAATAAGGAAAGAAACCACATCACAGCCGAGAACTTGACTAAGTTCACTGCCTTGATCATGTGAAGAAAGACTGAGTTTAAATCAAATCATGGGGTAAAGAATAAGGGTGCTTTCACAACACTGACACCAAAGCAAAGAAAATTTCTTCTATGAAAGGAAACTGAAATAAGCTATGAAAAATTTGCTCCTGAAAAATGATTAGGCCTCTGGGTGTATCTGTTGAATTCAGAACACATTCAAGGTTTTGTCTTAGGGAGCTGGGAAACTTCCTCCAACATTCTCACAGACGGAACCCATCCAGATGCTACCACCCAATGTACTTGAAGCCTACCTGGTTCCTTCTGCCAATCCTATTTGGTCCTGGAGGCTTCACAGGGGACTTGATGCCCTGGGGGCTCCCTCCATTCTCTGTGACGTTCCCTACACTCATTACTGCTGACATCATGGTGTTGATGGAAGACAGGTCCGGGCCTTCCAAGCCAATAGGCGAACTTGACGTCATTGGAACAGGAGTTTATGCTTCTAAGAAGCCTCTGTCATAGAACTGAAAACCAGAAATTGCTGACATTACCAAGGGAAGTTGAGACTTTCCTCATAGCCAAGTGTAACTGAACTACAAGCTGGGTCAAACACCAACACCCTCCTTCTAGTCAAGCGCATACTCATGTGGTGCCAATGATGATTTAAGCTTTCATCTAATGACACTTTGGCTTTCTGAAGACTCACCACTGATCTTGCTTCCTTTCTGAGAGCATGTCACAGACAGGACTCCAAGTGACCTGAGGAAGGTTTCTTTGCCTTTCCTCATCTTTGTAAGCAGAGGTGGGAAAGGCTAAGCCAACAACAAGAAACCCCAGAAGCTGCCATTTGGCTGACTGTCATCCTCCACAGAACCATATATTTGTTTTCTGTGACATAAAGGCTCTAGACCTAAATATACGGGATGAGAAACTTCAGGTTTCATTTAATTCCATTGCTGCAATAAAGTAAGTTTAATGGGCAACCCAAATTCTGTAAGAGATTAGAGAAACCAACCCTGTCAGGATTATGACCAAATTTCAAATCAACATAAAATAGCCTGTTTCTTCAAAGACACAAGTAAGTACTACACCTATACCCCAGATAACAGAAAGAATAAAACCCCACCCCTGTGGCTAATTACCTCCATTTTTTGCCAACTGATAAACCGTGAAATTTCCCCCTGCGAGAACTAGCATCCACACGCAGGAAGAAATGGCTCCGTGTTTACTTCTTTTTTCCTCTACGGCTATCACTGGTTGACACTGGAGGGAAACAGAGGTAGAAAGATTCAGGGAATATCTATTTGCTGTATTTTACTTTCTGAAGCTCATATTTATATACCAAATTTTCTTTCAAACTGCGCCCCAGTTACTTATAAGGAGCCTCAGACCCCAACTTGACCCACCTTGTGTCTCACCCTGAAATTGACCAAAGACAAAACAATTAAGGAATTCACTAAAAGGTCGGAGTCAAGACAGTATCAGGCCAGACCTAAACGAAGCTTGGTAACCTGAAAAGAATGACCAAAGGGAAAGTAATGACCCTTTTACACCAGGATTTACTTCTTCAGGCTGGATGTACTCTTTGCCACTAGAAGGCCTATGGCGAGAGGTGTAGTCAGTAATGAGTCCATACATAAAATGTAGTCCTCATTTTATCTGGGATGAATATTTTATACTCTATAGCTGAATCCCTACTGGTAATATTATCTTAGTACCTTCTTATTCTATGGTTAGAATTAACACATTTCAGAGGGCCATAACAGCAGCCTAAGATCAAGCTCATAATCTTAGCTGAAGAGGCTGCTTAAAAACAACATGAGAAAGAACATGATTTCATGTGGTTTTCTCCACCAACTTTAGGGGCTCTGACAGGTGGTCAGGTGGTCTACCCAGAGCAGCTCCAGATAAGCAGCCTTCCAGCAACAAAGCAGGAAAGGGGATAGAACTTTATTAAGTGGCTTCTATCTGCTAAATCTCTAAATGAAATCCTACCAAAAGGGCCAATGACAATCTTAGAAATTTCCTTGTCAAGTGATAAAACGTGCTTTAGTTGCTTTTGTTTTAATATGTTCTCTAAAAGATCAAGTATTGAAAATTAACCTTGAAATTCATACATTATTAATAGTATTTGCAGTGTGACCTTTGGGAGGTAATTAGCCAAGGTCATGAGGGTGGAACACCCACAATTACATTAGTGGCTTTACAAGAAGAGGAAGAGAGAACTGAACATGCACACTTGCTCTGTCTGGCCATGTGATATCCTCTGTGGTGTTATGATGCAGCACGAAGGCCAAGAAAGTGCCACGGCCTTGGAACTTCCCAGCCTTCAGAATTCTGAGCCAAATAAACTTTTATTCTTTATAAATTACCTTGTCTTGGGGATTCTGTTATAACAACAGAAAACAACCTAAGACAACTGTTAGTAGATGTTCTAAATATAACCAAATAGTAGGAAAAAGGAGTAAATGCAAAAGCATACAATTTAAGATTCCTGATCCAGTCTCACCTCCCACATCTTTTCCCCAAAAGAGAGGAAAACCAAACTGTTTCTCCATGCCAACATCCATTTAAATCTATTAAAAATTATGCTTCTTACTTCCTATTTTTGTCTTTAATGGGGTCATTTCTCCTTAGGGGAAAAAATATGTAAACACAGTATGTACATACAAGTGTGTACACACATACCACTCTTCTTTCTATTTTTCATACTGGGGGTTGAACTCAAGGGCAGTTTACCACTGAGTCATACCCTTAATCTTTTTTTTTTTTTTTAATTTTTTTTAGTTGTTGGTGGACACAATACCTTTATTTGTTAATTTTTATGTGGTGCTGAGAAACCCAGTGCCTCACATATGCTGGGCAAGCACTCTACCATTGAACCATATCCCCAGTCCCATCCTTTCTTTATTTTATTTTGAGATAGGATCTTGTTAAGTTGCTGAGGCTGGCCTTGAATTAACAATCTTCCACCCTCAGTCTCCCTGATGGATGGGATCATAGGTATGTGCCTCCACACCTGATACATTTTTCTTAATTAATTGTTAACAAAAGTATCATCATTAATCAGTATGTAATATGTATTGGGTTCAGAAATAGATGCTTCCAGTACTGAATTCACCACATTGTGTAAAATAACTACTAGAAATCTATCTTTATAGTAATTATGTTGTATCGATAAAAAGAATATGAACCTTCCTACCAATTTATATGAAGAGTATGGAAGATAATCTCACTTTTGTCCTATCAGTAAATTTAGAAAAGAAAACTGGTAGAGCTGACTCAAATCTATGAAGTTGCAGTAAACACCTTTGTGACTAAATAACCAACAGGCAAACTGACAAAAATATGTTCTCTAAACAGATCCAAACTGCTAGTAAGAATTTTTTCAGTCATGATATCTAAGATACATTCTTGCAAACTAGGTCTGAAATAGAAAATGCCTAGCGAGAGTTATTACAGTTAATTAGCACAAGAGCTGAACGCTGCAAGGACTTAGCCCACTGGAAAAGGAGAAAAGCCATGCTTTGGGATTAACTATAAACTTGCCTCTCATTCTTCTGGACAGGAAGACTTTGGCCAATCCCCTCCCCTCCTGAGCCACTTAGCTCCATCTCCAGCCTTTCTTATTTTTAAAATTTTGAGACAGGGCCTCACTAAGTTGCTGAGGCTGCCCTTGAACTTGCAATCCTCCTGCTTCAGCCTTCTGAGTGGCTGAGATTGCAGGTGTACACCACCACTCCTGGCTTGGTCAAATTTATTTCCTTCTTGAAGATAAAATGTAAGTGTTAATGCTGCATGTAAATGACACCAAGATCCCCTCCATTTACTTCTTTTTCCTAATTTTGATAATTAATTATCTTGCTGTGCTAAGATTGAACCCAGGGCCTCAAGTATATGATAAAGCAAGCACCTGACTACTGAATTACACCCCCAGCCCCCTTTTCCTATTTTAATGTAAGTAAATAGCAATACAATTAATAGAATGGAATACTTGGCTATGCTGGTTGAAAGGAAAAAAAGGATCATTGGATCCACCCTGGGAAGATGTTTCAAAAGCAAATAACAACCTGTCCCTTGGATTTTACAAGCTAGATTTTACTCTAGTTTATTCTTGAGTCCTAGACTTGAGTTCTCCTTTGAGTATGGAATGGGGCACCGGAAAGATGCTGGTGCTAAACACAATGTAGTTCACTGTTCCGTATTAGAAAAAATTCCCCAGGGTTGGGGTTGTGGCTTAGCTGTAGAGCCCTCACCTAGCACATGAGAGGCACTGGGTTTGATCCTCAGCACCACGTAAAAATAAATAAATACAATAAAGGTATCGTGTCCTATATTTTATTTACAACTAAAAAATAAATATTAAAAAAAAAAGAAAAAATCCTTCTTAACATTAAGGCTCGTTATGATACTTTAACTAGATGCAAGGTGGCCAGTAATAGTTCATTCTACCTACCCGCTACCCAATGCCCCACAGTACAATGGAATAACCCAAACTAATATACCTAAACTTGCTGATGCTTGATATCATGGAATAAAAGATATTTTAATAGTTTATGGTCTTTTGATAAAACACTTTTCCTTTTATGGATATTTATAGCCCTAGAATTTTCATTAAAATAATCACTGGCCCCACTCTAGTACCATCCCCTTCAACTGGAATCAGAGAGGACTAGGACCCCAGATGAAGTTCCCAAGACACATGTGTGATCTACAACACCAAGTAGACTAGCCTGGTGTGCCAGTCTTTAACCCACAGACCAAACTGCGGGGTGGGAAAAAGGAGAGAAGAGAGGAATCTGGTTTGAGGTGCTGCTTCCTGTGAAGCATGCTCAGCTTTCTCATCCCACACCACAGGATCAACAGATCAAGAAAAAAATAGCAAGATGCACTCACAATTTTAAACTGATTTTGCACTAAGTCTCAGGATATCCTGGAAAAGAGGGAGCACAACTGGGGAGGGAGCTGGAAGAAGGGAGAGCATAGGAAGACTCAACACTGACCGTTACTATAAATAAAGGAAAATCTGTGCTGTTTAACTGACCTGTTTTTCTCGTCTTATCAAGTCACGACCTCCTTACTGAGAAGCTGGCACGGGTTGGGCCCAAATGTGGGCAGGGTCACACCTCAAAGTCACCACTTCTGGAGCGCAGAGTTGGAACAACCTGCAAAAACAAGAGAAGTTGATGTGAAAGGGAGCTAAGACAAGAAGCGATCCATTTTCTGTATAATCTCCTCTATTCAACAACACCAGGAATCATAAACTGAGACAAGAGCACATTTCCCATGCCCTGCCTACAGTTACAAGTAATCTGTGCGGCGATTCCACCCAGAGTTGACCTGGTAGCATCTAAACAAGTGTGGCTACAGCTGAGTCCACTTCCACAGGTCCCCCACCCACCACCACCACACCAAGCAGGTTCCAGCAATGGCGAGGGCAACACCACAAGAGAGGGGTCCAGACGGCCGGCTGTGACTGTTGGAGGAGCTCTGGCAATCCTAATGCATGTTAATAGTAGAAGCTGATGGTCCTTTGACTTGAAGGAAATAGAAAAACAGGATACCAGTCAATGCTATAGAAACAGGAAAAAAGAAGCAATAAAATAAGAAATAGGTAATGAACAGAGCCTTCAAGTTGAGACTATCTCATATTTTCCCAAACAAGAAGTGTCTGTAACTCATGTCAAACAGGACCAAATGCGCACCTTTTCTTTTCTGGAGTAAGATGTGGAAAATGTCTCTAATTACACACACCCTTCACGAACTTGAGAAAGTCTTCTCCAGTGTGCTAAGGCCCTGAAAAGTCCCAAGCTGGGACAATGTTGTGTTTGGACCTCAATGGTCAGAGAAAGCTGGAATATGGCATTTCCCAGAACGACAGCATCTGGTATGTTTGTCTCTGGCTCTTAACAGCATCTCTCAGCTAAGCTAAAGAGTGCAAAACTGGGAGAAGATTCAAAAAGTTAATAAGACTGGGGATGTAGCATATAGAGCACCTGCCCAGCATGCAAAAGGCTCTGGGTTCAATCCCCAGCACCACATTAAAAAGAAATCTCTGTGCACATGATTCCCAGCATAGCAGAAAAGGGGGCAGGGGGAGCAGCAGCAAAATAAACCCCATGCGGATAGCACTTGTCTAAAAGCAATTGCGGGGCACATTTTTTCACTTTCATCCCTTTTTTGAAGAGTCTGGAGAAAAGCTGTCCAAGTGTGCCACACAGCTATCGTCTTCAGACTTCCTCAAGCTGTCCACAGATAGCTCCTTAACCACCCTGGGCAGGCAAAAGCCTGGGCTAGGCTGCTCTGCTGGGGTGGGTAATAAAGCTCACCAGCATTTTTTTTTTTTTTTAAATCAGAAACAGCTCCTGAGTGATTTTTTGATACCATGATGCTCCCCCAAATTTTTCTTAATACCTCTCTGCTTCAATTCTCCATCTTCTTTGTGTTATTCTCTTGGATTCTAAAGTATCAAGAAACAAGGAAGGTGGTGCATGCCTGTAATCCCAGCAGCTCTGGAGGCTGAGGCAGGTTAAACTCAGCCTCAGCAACTTAGCAAGGTCCTAAGCACTGTAACAAGACCCTGACTCAAAATAAAAAATAAAAAGGGGGCTGGGACTGGGGCTCAGCTGTAGCGCACTTGCCTGGCCTGTGTGAGGCACTGGGTTTGATTCTCAGCACCACATGTAAATAAATAAAATAAAGGTCTATCAACAACAAAAAAACCACACATACACTCTACACTCAACATTTTCATTCAGATTCAGGAGGATCAGGGACTCCAGAAATATTCTGGAAAAGCAAGGGAAGAATTCGTGTTTTACTTGATATATGACCCCCACTTCCTCAAAACCATGGATCAGCTAATTTTGTTAAAAGTTATGCAGATTTCGGAAATACACAAACCATTCTTTCAGATGATCTCTACCTATATAAACTTATGGCTATCTAAGGAAAAATTAAGCATAATTTTTAATAAGTATTTTAAAAAGCAAGCAAACTTTCTCTATTTTTAATTCATTTTTACATTAACTGGGGCTTGGGAGTATAGATCAATGATACAGCACTTGCCCAGCATGGTGAGGTCCTGGGTTCCATTTCCAGAGCCCCCAAAATAAAAGAGAAATAGAAGGAAAAAGTACACGTAGTTGGGGGTAAAAAAAGGTACATTTTATTAGTAAGGAAGTCTGGGAAGGAGTAAGTAGCCCACAGGTTTTTTTTCTCCCAGAAACTGTCAAGATCTCCAAATAAGTTCTACATATAATTAAAAGACACACACATATATATTCACACAATATGTTTCAGAGTCAGAGAAACATTTATGGAATGAACATTCTCCAGAATATAATTAAGACTGCCATTAAAATTTAGTCCTGCTTCCTCTTCTCATTTAAGTACTTACCAAAAAATAAAAAATAAAAATCACCAGTTTCCCCTCAAATACACAGAGAGAACCAAAGGGGAAGAGGATCCTTTTGGAGCAAAAAGGCCACGCTTAGGCTTGACCTTGAAACTCCATCCTCTGACCTTGGATGTAAATGATCTGAATATCAAGAATGTCTTCAATTAAGTTGAATAATAGAGTCACTACCCTGTTTGTTTTGGGTTCCCTTAGGCTTAAGGGACTCACAGAACTTGTAGAATGGAAAAGTACAAAACAGTTTTTGGAAGAAACTTCAAGACATCTCTTACCTCCATCACAACTGCCTCAGGAGAAAAAATGAAAACAAAACAAAACAAACAAACAAACAAACAAGACCAGTTATGGTCTAAATGATGACTCTGGTTGGTGAGAGGCGGCTAAGAAGGCTGGGATGTTTGGGGAATGGTCCGGGATGCTGAATTTCTGGATTTTCATTCCCACCAGCTTTTTGCAAAGCCAAGGAGGCAGGATGTCTGGGAGAAGGCAGAGGTCCCTCTGGGAGGAGGAGGGGCAAGGGAAGGCCAGCCCCCAGCCCCTGAGGAGATAAGGGACAATGCTATGTAAAACCAGAAGAGAAGATTAAGGAGCCTGTCTCCAGGTCCAGTGAGATAGCAATGAAGAGATGAGAGATAAAAGGGAAGATGGTTTAGAAGCAAAGAGCAGCATCCCAGCTTCTGAAAACTCCAGGGTTTCTGAAGTGAAATCTAAAATCTGTCCTCAGACCCCCAGGAAATATGGAATACGCTGAGCTGCCCACAATGATGGCAGAGGTCCTGGGCTTTACAACACTGGACCTGCACGGCTGCAGTGCTGAGCCTCCTGGATGTTCATAAATACTCGGGGTGGGATGGCTGATGCATGGTGTGTTGGAGCACAGCTGATGAGTTCAGGCCAGCCAGGACAGGCTCAAAGAGTTTGAATTAAGAGGAGTACAGACATCAGAATGGTCTGAGCTACTAGGGCACTTGACCAACAGCAAAGACATCTCCTGAAGGGTGGACTTGGCTGAGGACCGAATCAAACCAGACTAGCTGTGCCACCACAGCCAAGCCTGCTCTCTCTCTGCCTGCAAAGCCTGAGGCCAAACTGTCTTTTTCTAACCAGGATGGACTTGCATGTGCTCTGAAGGCTGAGACAGCTGGGATGACGGCTCCAGGAAGTTGATGTGTTTCTTGGCTTAGGGTGCATGCTGTGCCTTGGATAGGGCGGTAACCCATGAAAGTCACCCGCCCCTCCCTGCCCACAGCTGGCACTCGCTTTGGTAAAAGGGAGCCTTACTGTGTCATATAATGCCTTTCAGAATTTGAGCAGACCCTGCACAACTGGGCACTGTGAATGCTCCAGCCAGCTCTGCATCTTCTCCCCTTGGCTAAGTATGGACTGCTGCGAAGAGGTTGGGAAGGTACCCGATGGCAGAGGCCATGTTCAGGAGTGAAGTGTGGAGGTAAAAGGGTGGGGGTGGAGTGTCAATCCCAGGATTCAAGGTGTGTATGTGGACCTCCTTTTGGGTTGTCTCCTGAGCTTCAAAACACTTCCCCATTCCCATCCCTCAAGACTATAAGGAATGGTCAGACTTTAAACTGGTACTCAAGGCTCTTCATGCTCTGGCAACAGCCCGCCTTTTGCCCTGTGGTCCACCAGTCCCCGTGATTATCTCTTTGCTCAGTTCTTTCCCCTTGAACTTCCCCCTCTTCTTGGCCACTATGCACCTGGTACTTCCCCAACCCCTAATAACCCAGGGCTCTTGGTTCCAAACCCCAAGACACAAGGACCTTTAATTCCACTATCACACTAAATATTCAGAGCTAACAAATTCTGAGCACTCTGTATGTACCACACACGGAGTCCACTGCCTTGTTTATTCCGATAGCAACAATGCTGTGAAGATAATCTCATTGTACAGATGAGAAAACTAAAGTTACTTGTCTCCAAAATTGTAGGGCTGTTAAGTAGGAGAACCAAGTGAATCCTCTTTCTGAACTCCATTAAGTTTCTTTTGAACAAAAAGTGTGGCCCTTGGCATGGGGCTCGACAGCACAGTTGTGCTCCCTTAGTCATGTCTCTGGCTTCTCTAAATCTTGGTCTGAATCATTTTTGTTCCTTTAAATGCTCAGCACCTGGCCTTCCATTCGTGCCTGCTGTCCCCTACTCTATGGCAAGAGGCAGGTCGGGATTTCACCTCTATGGAAAAAGAAACATTCCCTCCGCCATGCAAAGGGACAGGGAGAGGTTTTCACATTCTATACCCTGTGGTTCTAGAAGTAGCCAAGCCAAGGAGGCGGGAAGAAGCCCTGAGGCTCAGCCTAAGATACCAAACAGCCCAGTCTTGTCCAGTGGCTGATGACACAAGCCCACCAGGTCACTTCTGCTTCCATGAAAATCATGTACAGACTTGGAGCAAGAGGAGCTGTGCTCAGGTCCAGAGGTATGGGGGAAGAGGTTTGAGACAATAAGCGACAAGCCAACAAATGGCATATGTCAGAAGAAGTGGGGGGCAGGAGTTGGGGGGCAAGTGCCTAGACTGCACAGATGAAAACTAGGCAAACACATGCACAGGGCACCTTACCACCAGCCTTATCTTGTCAGCAAGAAGTTAACTACAGCTGACCTGTCAACACAGCCACCCTGAAGAACACACATGCCACTTGATCCACAATGTGGTCCATCCCAATAAACCCATCCTAAGGTGGAAATGCACTGAATGCACCTCAAGTGCTGAACATCAAAGTTTAAAAGCACAGCATA